CAAACTCACGGACCATGAGATCATGACCTGAGCCGAAGTCAGACGCTTAAGTGACTGAGCCACCCAGGCGCCCCAATCAGTACCTTTTTAAAATATCATTACCATTTTAGAAAAAGTCTGTTATAGTGCTTTCTCCAGGTAAATATAGGGCTTACACAAAACATGATATATTGATGACCTCCGATCTATTGTTTTTATTTATTTTGTGAAACAGGGAGAGCACATGCAGGTAGGGGAGGGGCAGAGAGAGAGTGAGGGAGAATCCCAAGCAGGCTCTGCAAACATTTCTAATAAAATTTAAGTTGATAAGCTAGTGATGTCTTGCAATACAAGTAGTACTGTTAGGGCAGAGCCTAATTTCAGAACATTTTCATCACCCCCAAAAGCAATGTCATTCCCATTCACAGCCACTCCCCATTCTTCCCTGTCCCCAATCCCTGGGTCACTACTAATCTACTTTCTGTTTCTATGGATTTGCCTATTCTGGGCATTTCACATAAAATGGAATTATACAGTAAGTGTCCTTTTGTGACAGGCTTTCCCTTCACTTATGTGTTCAGGACTCATCTATTATAGCATTTATCTCCAGGCAGGTTTTTATCTTGAAAAAAATTAAAAGATTCTAAATTAAATTAATTCTAGTCTTCATGACAGCCTACATAATCTTCTTGGCCTAGACAAATTGTCCCACTCTATTTTAATTTTTTTAATGTTTATTTATTTTTGATAGACAGCACACGCGAGTGGGGGAGGGACGGAGAGAGAGAGAGAAACAGAATCCAAGACAGACTCCAGGCTCTGAGCTGTCAGCACAGAGCCCGATGAGGGTCTCGAACTAATGAACCACGAGATCATGACCTGACCTGAAGTCAGACGCTTAACTGACTGAGCCACCCGGGCACTCCTGTCCTAATCTATTTTAAACTGTGCACAAAGGACAAAGCTACTCTAAGTTTAAAACTCTAAGACTGGTCAATTGGTAAGTAAGACTGGTAAATAAACATTTACTGAGCATCTACTATGTGCATGGCACAGTGCTTGGCCCTTTAGAGCACTGCTGTCGTCTCTCCCCTCTTTGTATTCTCTCTCTCTCTCTAAAATAAACAAACAAAAAAAGGGGGGTGCCTGGGTGGTTTGGTCAGTTAAGCATCAGCCTTCAGCTCAGGTCATGATCTCACAGTCCCTGAGTTTGAGCCCCATGTCGGGCTCTGTGCTGACAGCTCAGAGCCTAGAGCTTGCTTCGGATTCTGTGTCTCCCTCTCTCTCTCTCTGCGCCTCCCCTGCTTGCACTCTATCTCTCTCTCAAAAATAAATAATAAAACATTAAAATAAAAATACATTAATTAAATAAATTTAAAAAAAAAGAAAGTGGAGAAATTTTTATCTTCCATGGATAGAATAAGTAAAAGTAGTATTGGCTGCTTTTGGACTATTAACTGCTCTACAGAATAAACAAATGTGGACAGTTTTGAAAGAAGGAAAATTATTTCAAATATGAAGAGGGAAAAAATCCCCAATTAAAACGAATGAAGAACAAAGTATTACATCTGAAGAGGAATAAGGGCCAGGAAAAGCTGCAGCATGGAGACACCAAAAAGAGGAAGATGAAAGTAGAGCGGGATCTCTATAATAAAGAATAGTCAACCCTTTACCTTTAGGGAAGTCAGTTGATCTGCCCACATTTCTATTATAGGAATAAGATGCTCAAATCCACAATCTTGAACAAAATCTTTATGAAAATGTTGGGCTCCTCCTTTGCTCTGTTTATGAATTATCACTGGAGCTCTTGGATTGTGAACAACTGAATTGATGCTACTCAGCACCTTTAAAAAAAGACAATGTTTTAATTGAAATGTCTATCATAGTCCTATCCAAGTGATTTAGGTTACAGGAGTGCTTTCTATGTTAATGTATCATCATTTTCAGAATTAATTTTGGACATTAAGAAGCTCTTTAACTGACACCTGTAATGTTTTGGAAGTACAGTAGTTGCATCAACAGAATTAAACATGTAATTCTAATGAGAACTACAGACTTCATAGAAAAGCAAAAATGCATTTCAAATGATTTAGACTTGAAAGTAGTTATGAATGACTTCTTATAATCCACACAGGGAAAAATAATCATCAATATATCCTTAGCTAGAGTCTCACATTTCTCTAATTCTATCTCCTCATATTTAAGCTAAATCAGATGTTTAAAGGGGTCATTTCCTGTTGTTTGTTTCATAGCTTCAATTAAAGGCCAGAGTGTAAGGACAGTGAATAATAAAGTCCCACACATTCTATACAGAAATCCTGGAAACATCATGCCAATTCTGGAAACCCCAGATCCAATTCAGAGAACTCATCCTTAATATGTTGTTCCTCTACAACCACTCAGTACCAAAATCTGTATTAATGAAGGCTCTAAAGAGAAAGAGAAACAATGTATATGTATATAAATACATCTAAAGAGATTAATTTTAAGGAATTGGCTCACACAATTATGGAAACTGAGAAGTCCCAATTTCTGCAGTAGGCAAGCTGGAGACCCAGGAGAGTCAAGGAAATACTTCTACTTTGAATGCCCACAGGCTTAAGACGCAGGAAGAGACAATGTTTTAAGTTTGAAGGCAGGAAAAAACTCATGTCCCAGCTCAAAGGCTCCCTCTTATTAACCCTTTTTGTTTTAGTCATGTCTTCAAATTACTGGATGAGACCCATTCACATTAGGGAAGGCAATCTGTTTTATCCATTCTACCAAATCAAATGTTAACCTTATCCATAAACACCTTCACATATTCATATGTGACATATTCAGAATAATCTTTAACCAAATATCTGGGCACCCCATGGCCCAGTCAAGTTGATACATAAAATGAACTATCATAAATACCCACATAATCATTACCTGGATTCAACAACTGTTAACATTTTCCCATATTTGCTCACTCTATTTTTAGCTGAATCATCTGAAGAAAATATAGACATGATAAAATTTTATCCTCAAATACTTAAGTATGCATCTCTTAAAATAGGCATATTCTCCTACAAAATCATAACACCATTGTTATATATAAGAAATTTAACAGTAACTCCCTAATATTATCAATGCCTGGAGTGAATTTTAAATATCTTAACATGTATAATCTGTGACTATACGCCCCCTGTTGACAGTTATGAGTTCTACCTTATATATCATCCAAGGAAAGGAGGAGACCCAAAATAGCAAGTTTAAAGGGAAAAGAGTAGGTGTGCCTGGGTGGCTCAGTCGATTAAGCATCTGACTCTTGGTTTTGGCTCAGGTCATGATCTCGCAGCTCATGAGTTCAAGCCCCACACTGGACTCTGTGCTGACAGTGCGGAGCCTGCTTGGGATTCTCTCTCTCCCATCTCTCCCTACCTGGTTTGCTCGCTCTCTCTCTTTCTCTCAAATAAATTTTTTAAAAAAGGGGGGAGGAAAGTAATTTCCTTATTTACCACCATCAAGCCCAGATCATTTAATAAATAATTATATAAGCATAAAGACAAGATACTATTTTGATCTCGAATCTTTGTCCCTACTCATACTTCAAGCTATATTCACAGGTCTCCTGGTAATAAAACTTCAGATGTTTGGGGCGCCTGGATGGCTCCATTGGCTAAGCGTCCAACTTTGGCTCAGGTCATGATCTCGCGGTTTGTGAGTTTGAGCCCCACGTCGAACTCTGTGCTGAGCCTGCTTCGGATTCTGTGTCTCCCCATCTCTTGACCCCTACCCTGCTCATGCTCTGTCTCTCTCTGTCTCTCAATAATAAATAAAGGTTAAAAAAAAAACTAAAAAAAAAAAAAAACTTCAGATGTTTACTTACGAGTTTTTTTTCTTAGTTTAAGAGAGAATATTTCAACATTTTTTTCTCTTGTATGTATGTATGTATTTATTCACATAGCTTATTTATTTATTTTGAGAGAGACAGAGAGAAAGCAGGAGGGGCAGAGAGGTGGGGGAGAATCCCGAGCAGACTCCACACCATCAAGTGCAGAGCCTGAAATGGGGCTTAAACTCACAAACTGTGAGATCATGACCTGAGCTGAAACCAAAAGTCGGACACTAGCCAAGTGAGCCACCCAGGCACCCTCTCTTGTATTTACACATATTTTAATGGAGAAACTAAATCCCCTTCACAGATTTATTACTGACAGCAGAGCATTTCTTATGACTTGACCACAGTCAGATGACTGGCAGGAAAATGTGTATTAACAATGAGAAAATAGTAAAATGACTTAAACAATTACCAGAGAGATGAGAATTAAAACAAAAACAACCCAACTCACAAATAGGTCTTATCTTATCCAGAAACAGTTTGCAGATACTGATAAACTCTTGATATGGATAAAAACTGTATCTTGAAAGTAAACATTAGACAAGTAGAAAAGAATTAAGATAACAGATGTTGTAAGTACTAGAAAAGAAAAAGTAGACAAATCTCAACCTAGCAAATTTCAGGGAAAAAAAAAAAGAATGGAACTAGAAAACATATAAATAGAAAACAAAGATGTCAGGAATAAAAGCAGATATATGAGTAAGGTCTCAGTATCTATGATGGTTTAATTGCCTATTAAAGGACAAAGCCTCTCAAATTGAATCTAAGAAACAAAATGAAATAAAAGAAATTCAGTTACATGCTGGGTACAAGAGAGTTATCAAAAAAAAAAAAAAA